GAAAGATCCAAAGACTGCTCCCACTGAAGATGACGCAGTGCTGGATGGAGCAGAATCAGCAGCGTTCTCCAAGAATCTGATCCTTCGTATGAATAGCTGGATGGCACGTGAGCACTGCTTCCAACAAATGACTAATGTCAATATCGAATCTTGATCTCTCCTACAAAGTTGGAGGTCTGGCGGCGGCAGTAAGGAGGCGACAAGAAAGTATTTCGCAGAGATTGCAAAAATCTTTCTTCTGTGATTTCAGCTCTGAAGACTATAGATGTTAGTGTGTTGTTCTGTATGTCTAAAGGCTGCCGCCCCTTCTTTTTCTTATAACCCTAAAGAATCAGCTCCTAATCCAATTAGGAATTGCTTATCTAAATCACATTTGGATCAGATATCTATTTAGGTGATAAAGATAAACCCTTATCTTAATTGTAGATTAGATCAGTCATCTCCTAATCTTATTTAGATCTTTGACTCTCTGGGTGGATAGGGTTAAGGCCCAATCCTATTAACTGATTTAATCCCAGATCCGCTTCTCATTTAAACTGATCAAATTAGCCTAGTTCGAAATGGGCTTTAGGCACATTAAGGTTGTGTGCTCACTTAACCTTCCAAACTGCTGCCCAGTGGTTTCCTTGTATGGCGTGGGACCCAAACATTGATCTACACATCAGCCACATGGGTTCAGCCCAGCCTTTGTTACAAGGCCTGGCCGAATACACTATTAAGGACAATGCACCCCCTAAAACCCATCAAATGGGCTCTATGGGCCCAACACTTACCCCAAGTGGTCCCTAGGCCAAGCCACCTTGTAACACCCAGGGACTGTGGGCAGATGCAAGATTAGCCCATCAGGTATTGCCCTCAATGGTCATACACTCAACCTCTCAGCCCATAATGATCAAATACTGACCGACAAGAGATGACATCTCCCTCGGCTGCAATGAATAGTGCTGCACTCTCTACCTATATGGATCCCGAGAATTAAAATATTTTGCAAACCATAATATATATACTTTTATATCTCATATAAAATATATTTTGCAAAACAAATATCAACGATTGAAATCGGCTGCCGACAGTCTTGGTTTCCATCAGTGAGAGTGCATCCCCAATCATTACCTTTGTCCGACAAAGGGGCTGGTCCTGTCACTGTGATTACCCACTTAGATGAATTCTCAGACTGTACCAACATACCTAGGTTTTGACCCCCGCTAAAGATCTCACTGATTGGTACATCAAAGACAACCCAATCCGACACCTAGTGTGGTATCATAATCGAGTCTAGGGGTCGAGTGTAACTTTCCAGTTTTGCCCATTAATTTCCAAGGTACAGGGCAATACTGGAAATCTGGTCCAGTTCAAAGATTCAATTAATCCTACACTGTATGTGCCTAGGTTCTCACCCTGGCAACTGAGAGAAGCCACCCCAACCGTCTTGGTGGCACAACAGTGTCAGCCTTATCAATATAGGTCTCCCCAGACCAACCCACCGGCTGTGAACATTCTAAACTAACACGAGTCTCATTAAGTGTTCAGTTTAAGGGTATTACCCATAAACATACAAAGTGAACATGAATCAAATATGTACTTTTATTCATTTACAATAAACTCATAATGCACATCATTCTAATTGAAGCTAAGGGCACACAAAACTGTCTAACAATTACTCTCGTATGAGTTAAGGTTGAAAACACTTTTGCCCTTGAGTTTCAAAGTTTCTCCTCTTACCATTCCAATATTTCATGTCTTTATGCATTGTTTGATAATTGAATACTTCATTGTACAAGATATATTTTTGACATTTTCAATGCATACCCAACTTCTATATTAACTCCACCATTATACCATATCCTTTTCCTTACTTATATGTTGGTTCTTTTTCAACTCTTTAATGCAAACCATTGCCCTATTTTCAAAAAATCCCTTCGGGTGTTTATCTCACACTTCGGTATTCTACTTATTGAATCCGTAATTTGATTGAAGATTTATTAGTTAAAATATCTAAATCCCAATTTCATTGAAGATATTCTCATTAGCTTTCGCTGGTCATGTCAACTCCTATGCTTTGATCCACGTCAATCTTTCGTTTGTCATATTAGCTTATATGCTTTGACCCACTTCAATCTTCCGTTGGTCATATTTATTTCTATGCTTTGACCCACGTCAAAAAATCCGTTGGTCATGTCAACCTTAGTGCTTTGACTGGTGTCAAAAATTCCATTGGTCATATTAGCATCTATGCTTTGACTTATGTCAAAAAATTATGTTGGTCATATTAGCCTCTATGCCTTGGCCCGCGTTAGAAAATTCCATTGGTCATGTCAACCTCTATGCTTTGACCCACGTCAGAAAATTCCGTTGGTTATGTTTGCCTCTATGCTTTAACCAATGTTATAAATTCTATTGGTCATATTAGCCTCTATGTTTTGGCCCGTGTCAGAAAATCTCGTTAATCATGTTAGCCTCTATGCTTTAACGTACATTAAAAGATCCGTTGCTCATGTCAACCTCTATGCTTTGACTCGCATCCAAAAATCTGTTGGTCATGTTACTCTCAATGCCTTGACCCACGTAAAAAATTATGTTGGCTATGTCAGCCTCTATGCTTTGACCCACGTCAGAAAATCCATTAGTCATGTCAATCTTTATGCGTTAACTCGTGTTAGAAAATCCATTGGCCATGTCAGCCTATATGCCTTTACCTACGTTAAAAATCTCGTTTGTAAGTCTTCTTTCTTTGACTGACACTAGTATTTCAATTGAGGAAACAAATATGATATAAATGACAATAAAAAAACAGAGAAAATAGAAAAAAATAAACACAAAAAAAGAAGCAAAAGAATAAGAGAATGAAGGATAAATAATGTATGGAACTCTTTAACAATTATTTCACATTGTGATATTTCAAGATTTCTATTAAAACTTGAAATATGTTATTAAAATATTTAAAAATGTTCTCAAGAAAAAAAAAACTAAAATTAAAGAATATTTGTTGGTGTTTTGTGATTATTCTTTGAAATAATTTTTTGCACCTTTTGTCCTTCGTAGTCTTGATGATTGATTCTGTAACCCCTATTAGGGGTTACTTTGCCAAAAGCAAAGGGTCATCACATGGTAAGTTGCTTTCATTGCAGTTTTTCTATCTGTTTGATTTCCTTTGCGACAAATGTACTATGATTTAATAAGGTTTATAATACCTAGGAGGGGTAAATTTGCCAAAAGTAATTGGTTCTCACATGATAAGTTGATTTCATTGCAGTTTTCTATTTATTTGCTTTTCTTTACGACAAATGTGCCTCGATTCTGTAAGGTATCTAATGCCTAGGAGGGGCCACTTTCCCAAAAGTGATAGGTTTTCACATGATAAGTTTCTTTCATCACTGTTTTCTACGTGCTTGCCTTTTTTTACGACAAACGTGCCCTGATTCCGTAAGGTTTCTGATACCTAGGAGGAATCACTTTGCTAAAAGTAATTGGTTTTTGCATGACAAGTTGCTTTCATCGTTATTTTGTACATGTTTGCTTTTCTTTACGACAAATGTGCCCTAATTCTGTATGGTATCTAATACCTATGAGGGGTCACTTTCCCAAAAGTAATTGTTTTTCACATAAAAATTTGCTTTCATCACTATTTCCTATTTGTTTTATTTATTTTATGGTAAATGTACCTTGATTCCAAAGGTTCTTAATACCTAGGAATGGTCACTTTGCCAATAATAAAATGGCATGAACATGATGAAATGATGCTACATGGGAGTTCCTTTTTGTCTCAATCCTCCTTCATCGATTTGCCCCTCTTCCAAGCCTATCATTCGTAAAAATATCTGTGTGCTTCTTTTGGTCTTTGTTGTTTTATAGTTTCTTACCTTACAACAAAGAGGGGCAGTTGTCAGTACCTGATTTTTGCTCAATTTTCTACCCAAACCACAATTCATCCCAAATCCCTAACCAAACTCATATAATATTTTCGAAACACCCAAAAAACATGAGTTTCACCGTTAAACTTGCTTAATACCTATCTAATAGCTCGATCGACCCTCACTTACACCTCGACCATCATATCAAACACAACCGTCAGACCAAGACCTCTCAAAACGCCTTCCCATGAATTTGAACTTAAAATTCTTCCATTTAAACATTCATCAAGCGAATATTCCTTTTCATCCCCTCTCATTAGCCTAAACACTCGGAACCCAATGTCCTTTGATCTTGACACATCCAAACCAATCAAACCACACCATTAAACTCCGAGTGCACCAAAACACTTGCCCATAAAATTTTAACCCTAGATTCCCCCATTTGCCCTTTCATTAAAATTTCAACCCAAATTCTTACGATCTTGACCCCCCAAGACGAATCATACATCACCATCATATCCTTGACACTTCTAAACACCCACCTATAAAATTTATGCCCAAAACACCTTTGTTTACCCCTTCATCGCTCCTAGATTCCATTTTAAGGCTCTAGACTGATCGGATTCCAAATCCATTATATCTGGACCCATTTATCCCAATCTAACCCTACTAATCATCGCAGACTACCAAAAAACCCTATCTTGTGAAATTTCATCCAGAACAAACATTGTTTTCCTTTCGATCATACAAAGATTTTGTTTTGAGTCTCCAAATTAACCTAAAAAAACCCATACATGCCCAATCTGGGTCCATTTGGGCAAATCCAACCCCACCAATCAACTCGGAATGTCCGAAAACCCTCAATTGTAAAATTTTAGCCAAAAATACCCTCATTTACTCTTTTATCTATAAAGATTCCATTTCAACCAATTTCACTGGCCTGCAATGCACAAACCGAGTATGTGGTCAAACCCATCTCAATCCTTTATTTTTTGGCTCAAAGTCCTCACCATTGAACCAGAAGACCCGGGTTGACCCCTATAGACACGATTTGACCCATTTTCTTACAATTATCAGAATACCCCTTGCATTCCCAAAACTTAAAAAACTACCCCTCGCCCCGTGATAAAAGCAGACCTAAGTTTTCAATTTAGGGGGATTCAGCTTCGTCTTCGTTCGAAAGAGAGGCGGAGCAGCGACGACCCCTCCCTTCATCTCCGGGCATCAGCGGCGGCAACCTTCTCCGACCCCATCTCCGGCCTCCCTCTAAATCTCATTATTCTTATTGTTTTTCTTCTTCAGAACCCCCGAAATCCACTGTTCATCAACTTCCTCACGACATAGAACCAGCGGCGGCGGTGAATCCATTCCGATCTCCACCTCCAATTTCTCATCTCTCTTTTTCTCTTACACCCTCTCTCTTTCTTCTTTTTCTTCTTCTTCTTCTTCTTCTCCTTAGTCTTCACTCTTTCCCTTTCCCTGTTCATCATCCCCGTTGCAGCGGCGGGTTCAAACCGGCAACAGTGGTGAGTGGCGGCGTTGAACAGGAACGATGACTGATCCATCCTCGTCAGTTTCAAGTGAAACCCGCGCCTAGATCGTTGAACATCTTCCAGTTTTCGGTTGAAGCTACCAATCGCCATTGTCGATAGAAGAAAGGAACTCAGGAGCGCATCTCGCACTCAGCCAATCCCAGATACCCTGTCATATTCGTTCCTGGATCTATCGAGCTCTTCCCAAGAAAGCAATCTCTATTTACAGCCCGAGGTTCGGAGAAATAGATCAACAACATCACGAGCCCGGTATCTGTGCTCCATCGAACGATTTCAGGCGACAACGTGATTTAGGCATGCTTCGTTCTCACCTTTCACTTGTTTTTCTTTGTTATTATTTTATTATTACTTTTATTCTGTGGTAGAATACTGAATACTGTCGGTTTCAGAGGCGACAATGAAATCGTTCTCTGTTATTTCTTGACCGATGACAAATATAACTGGTTTGTCGTGTTTGATTGCCTTTTGATTGGTTAGGTTTGTTTCATCGTTGTTTTTTTGTTTCATTGCCTTTTGATTGGTTAGGTTTGTTTCATCGTTGTTTTTTTGATTAGTTGAACATGATTCTTTGAATCAAATTCATATGGGTAATAGTGGGAGGCGTTGGGTTTATTTCTGTTATGTTGTTAACGGTGAACTGGGTTGCCATATTTCTTCGTCTCATAGGTTATTATGTCTTTCTGTTTTTTTTTTTTTTTAATTTTTTTATTTCAGTAATGCTATCGTGCCTCGAGTCTTCTTGCTCTCTCTCTTTTGTTTTGATGATTGATTGCTTAGTTGTTGGCTGCCTATCATGGCTACTGCGCCTGGATCTGTTTAAAAGAGCTATTTCATTACTATGTCAAATCAGCTGTTTAGAAGTAAAATTGTCTTTCGTAGAAAATCTTGAGATTGCAGGGGCGATTCCAATTTTGTTGTGTTAACCAGGGCCGGAGAATACCATGGGTGTAATATTTTCCGTCAGTCAGTGAGAACTCAGTTGTAAAAAAAATCAGAAAAAAAGAGGAAGAATAAAAAAAATAAAAAATGCAAATAAAAAGATAAAAAAGTATATAACAACAAATAACAAATGAGAATAAATAATAATAGAAACCAAAAAAAAAAGAAAATAAAACAGAAATAGGTTTGATTATCTTGTGGTGGCTTGTTCTTAATTTGTTTTGCTTTATTGATTATTAGTATGTTTTTAGTTAATATCTACAAAGAAAATATGCTTGTAGTTAATTAAATAAATTTTTGTTTATGCTCATGCTTGTTTGGAATCCCATGTGGCCCTCACCTATTGGACTCGGGAGAGGGGTGCCTGACCCCTTCCCTTTTCCATCCAAGTCTTACCTGGATTTGATCTAGTTGTGTTTCCAAGTTTTGGGGTCTAAGAGTACAGTACAAAGATGTATGGTTAAGGGATCGAGCAAAAATTAGGTGCGGACAATATGGGAATGGCGAAATTATTACTTTAGAGATAGAGAGGGAGGTGGGTAGAAAGTCTCATTGTTGGTTGCTGGTTGATTCCCAATGCCGGTTGTCGGTTGTTGTTGTTGCCTATGGTCTGGTCACCATATGCTAGGTTTGGATGAGAGACAGTTGGAGGCTAGTTTGAATGACGAGGAAAATCTTTTCTTTGTTTTGTCTTTTAGAGGCTGGTTCAACTAGTTGGACCACCGTTAAGCAAGGTTCAAAGTATCAATACGATATGCATATCGGCATCGTATCGGTACTTAGAAACGGCCGAAACACCTTTTATTTTTTACTTTTTTTTCAAATTTTGTTTTTTTGGGAATCTTAAAACATGTTTTTTATTATTAAAAAAAGTTGGGGCCCGAAACACCTAGAAACAGGCATTTCGGACCGCATCTTTTTCCAAAAGATACGATACGATACGATACGCCCGATACAGGGTGTATTATATCGATACTTTAAGCCATGCCGTTAAGATAGCAACTCCGTTAAATCCCTATTACATTGATTGTTAGAATAATAATGTAAATAAGGCTGAATGGTACTTATCGGTGAACGCTTTTTGAACCAAACTTCGACAGTGTTGTAGAATTGTGAAGATGAAACTGAGATTTGCAGTGGAAGGGAGGGCTGAGTTGTGCTACTTGGTCACTCTTCTTAAAACTGCATTTGACCCCTATGGTAGTCGGGTGATTGCAAATCGATTACCCAGATAAAACAACACATAAGCCATTAGTAGATGTGCACTCGTTTACTAGATCTCTGTGAACCACAAAAGATAATGCTTAGGAAAGAAATAGACAGAAAACTATGGATTTGTTGGTGTGTAAAACTGGGTCGACCACCACTTCCATTAAAAGAGAAGTGTCTCTTCCAGAACACTGCCCAAGGCATCTGTTCAAAGAGACACAAACTGAAAGGTAGAAGAAGCAAGAAAACGTTTCAAACAAACTTTGAAATTTAAAAGTCGAAATGGGTTAAACCGGTCAAAGGTAAAACAGTTCGGTGTAGGCACGTATACACACACACACGCACTCGCGCCTTCGCTCATTCCCACTCCTCGGCTTGCCGCATGCATGTATGAAAAGCACCTTTAACCCCCCCTCCTCGCTACATGCATGTAGAGATATATATTTCTCTCCTATGGTCCCTACCCATAGGGAGAGCAATCCTAGTAATATACTCAACGCCAATTCTTTTCCCAAGCAATGTGGGACAAGAGTTTCCTACATGCACTAAGAGGGATTGAGGGAAAGAGAGAAAACAAAACCAAACAAAGGAGTGAGAGAGGAGATTCGTGAAATTTTGAATGTCCCTCCAACAATCCTCCACAAAATTCAAAATTACAAGAAGATCGGACACATGAGCATCATGGTGAGAGAAGTATTCATGACGATGTCTTTTGGACTTCAATCAGCACTCGGGTATGACAAATTATGTTACAGAGTACGGGTAGAGTCAAACTCCTTCAACTTTTCCCCTTTGATGTAACTATCTCATTTGCCAACCAACTCAACTCACATTTCCTTAGTGGTTCTTTTTATTTTGAAACATTTCGGCCTTGTTCCCCTCTTGGAATCATGAGTGTTTTACAAAGTCAGCCCTTAGAGCTCTCATAGAAGTAGCCACACTTCACACTCACTTAGGTCGGTTATTTAGTGTGCACTACACACACCGTTCTTAATCAATTAAGAGTCTTACACTCACCCTCCTCATTTTGCAATGAGCACTATCTTACTTCGGCATCTATAATGGGGCACGATTTGATAGTGCTTTCTCAAGTCATCTAGTGATTTGTTTTTACCCATTCAACCTGATTCCAGGGATTTCCTTTCACATAGGTTGGGTATCCATCACTAATTATTTATGTTATGGGCTTCAACTCCATTCCTATCAATGCCTCATAATTAATTTAGCGCAATTGTTCCTTCGTTGAGGTATTATCTTACCAAGTTGTTCCTTAGGTGGATGTGACTTATTTTACTGTTATACATTTTATTGTTGGCTCTAGCTATTGTTGCTTGACTATCACAATGGAGAGATATAGATGGAACCGGTTGTGGCCAAACTGGTATATCTACCATTAAGTTCCTTAGACACTTTGCCTCGGACCCTGCCAATTCTAATGCAATGAGTTTGACTTCCATTGTCGAACTTGTGTTATAGGACTGTTTTATTGATTTTGAAGAAACTTCTCCACCTCCTAAGGTAAAGATATACCCACTAGTGGAAGTACTATCTTTTGAATCTGAAATCCAATTTGCATCAATAAAACTTTCTAAAATAGAAGGAATATTTGAATAATACAAACCAAAGTTTATGGTTCCCTACTAACCTTTAAATATTTTAATAATCTTATTAGAGCTTCCCAATGTTCATTCTCGGGATTATGAGTATGTTGACTTAGTTTTCCAACTGCTATTGCTATATCCGATCTTGTGTAGTTCATTAAGTATGACATAAATCCAATTATAATTGCATATTCGTTTTGTGAAACAGGTTATCCTACATGTTTTCTTAACTGGATACTACAGTCAAGTTGTGTCTTAATTGGTTTATAGACATAGTGTCCAAACTTCCTAAGTATAGTTTCCACATAGTGTGATTGGGAGAGAATAAAGTTTCCTTGTTGTTTATGGATTTTAATCCCCATGAGTACATCAGCCTCACCCATGTCTTTAGTGTCAAAATTGGACATTAAAAATTGTTTTGTTTCTTTTACTTCTTCTAGACTTGTACCCATTATTAGTATATCATCAACATATAGGTAGATCATGACTCTTTTATCATCTACAAACTTGCTATAGACGTATCTCAGAATCATTTCTATTATATCTATTTGTTATTAACACATTATCAAACTTTTCATGCCATTGTTTGGGAGCTTGTTTTAAGCAATACAAAGACTTAATCAGTTTACAAACTTTGTTCTCTTGTCCTGGCATAAAACCTTTAGGTTGCCTAATGTATATATCTTCCTCTAATTCCCCATTAGGTTCGTTTACCCATCTTCAATCTATTAAGATTTGCTTTCTTTTGTTTTTTGCTTGGTTGATCAGTGCTCCTCTGTCTTTTGCTTTCTTCTGTTTACACAATGTTTAATCTACCAGTGGTGGATTGCTTTCCTCTACTTTTTGCTTTCATTTTCAATCTCTCTCAAATTCCATGTGAAAGATGGGAATGCCAGGTCAAGACCCAAACAGTGGCGTTTGTGCGTTTCTCTACTTCTCACAGCTCTACCTTCTCAAAATGACGACTTCAACCATTTGAAAATTCAGAAGTGCCAACAAAAAAGCAGTTTTGTTCTCAGGATAGAAAACATGTGACCCATAGAAAATAAAAATAAGATCCAACATATCTTATTAGTGCTGCAAATGAATTGGACTGGTCAGAATCGAATCCAACATATTCAAGGTAAGTTTTTTATTTTTTTATCTATATTTGAAGATTATAAATTGAAAGATGATGGCTTTTAACTTGAAATTTAGGTCTCAGAATTGCAATTTGAGACTCTTTTACTTAACTGAATAATATGGATCATAGATGATTCAATAATTTTTTTAAGTATCTTCCTTTGGATTTTGGCATACATTGTTAGAACTTGGAAGTGCTTTTTTCCTGGGTTTTTTAATGTATTTTGTTATTTTTATTTTTTTTAGTTTTGTTTGCTTTAGTATTGATTTCGTTTTTTTTTCATGAATCTTGGATATGTTCTGCTTTTTATATGGATCCTTGGATATGTAGAATTCGGATTTAAGTATTTCCTATTGTTTTGATCTTCGTGTTAGAACAATTGGACCTGGGAATTTTCTTTTCTTTGGCTAGTGGGTTTTTGATTTCAATGCTTTTATCGTTTATACTGTGCACTTTAGAACAGGGAGAGGAAAGTGTTATGTACATAACTGGAACCGTGGTGAATACATTGGATTGTGTAGTTTGACAATAGATCAAGCCACCTTGGAGTATACTGTGCGTAGTTCAGCTAGGTGACCGATGCCCATGAGATAATAGAAGGCAAGCGACGCATGTAATGGCCCAAGACTTAGTCTCGAGACTAATGTTGGGCACTTGATTCTGCACTACATGTAATGATTGTTATCGATGAGAACTTGAGAAGATGCTTAGATGGATGAGTGGAAAGACCAGGAAAAAGAAAGAACTGAACACATTTAAGGCAACCTAATAATAGGTGCAATTGGTGATTGGGTAAGGAATTCTGGCTTAAAAAGCTTTGTTATTTGCAAGGAAGACCACTTTTATGCTCTAGTAGAGTTAGAAAGCTCTAAGAGGGTGAGAGGGGGGTTGAATGCTGATTGGGGTATTGGTTAGTGATATGATTAATCACGACTTGCGAGTTTACAAAAGTGTGGTCCTATATATAAGGGAATAGTGGAAATAAGATGGTATTCATGTGTAGATCCAAACTAGTTGCCAAAGAATTTGTTGATGTTAATCTCCTAATGAGGCATATTTATATATTATGTCATTGTATATACACGAACACTAAATGTTAAATAAAATGCTTGAAAACAATCTTAGAGTACCTCTCTGGTTATGGATTCCTACCGTGTTTAAGAAAAAGAGAGGACATCAGGCTGATGCTAGAAACCTGCCATTCTGCCCTTTTGATGGAATATTTACTGGCTTCCGTAAATGTTTTGATGTTTTATTATTGGAATTGCTTTTTTGTTTGTGGTGATTGTTTGGTATTTCTCTGTCTAATATTACATGAATTTTATCAACCAATGGTTGTTTTAAATACTATGTTGAAGTCATCATATTGTTGCAATATTGAGGACTTCTTTAGTTTCATTTGACAGAAATTCTTCCAGAACATTAGTTAATTTGTTAATAATTTTTTTATCTGGTTCATGTGCTTCATAGTTCTTTATGAATACATCCACCATTATACATTCGTAGTTATCCTTTTCCTTATGCACCTTCTTTTCATTCATTTCCATTTTCTTCTCATGTCTGGTCATAGAAATATGTTTTGGTTGTTAGGATATACCACCATCATCACCATCTACTTCTACATGTATTCCTTCTGTTAAGGAATAATTCCAAGAAACCCTTTTTCCACCTGAACTCAGGTTTTTCTTGTCCTTCCCTTTATAATTTTTTTCCCTAGACTAGAAATGCCAAATTGCATCAAATAACTCCTTCCAATTGACCATTGGAGGAGTTGGTCAGCTGTGGCAGTTAGTTCTTCTAGGAAAGATAGGTTCAATGCAGAATGGGTTCCTCCTCCTGAAGGAAGTGTAAAGTTGAATTTTGATGGGAGCAGTCAGGGTAACCCAGGACCCTCTGGAATAGGAGGCGTCTTGAGAGATAAGGACTGCAACATCTTACCTCTCTTCTCTGGCGCAGTGGGTTTTTGGGGCTCTAATAGGGCTGAACTATTAGTGGCCCTACATGGTATTCAAATTGCAAATCAGTTTAGTGTGGAAGATCTAATAATTGAAGGAGACTTTTAAGTTGTTGTGGGGTGGCTGGTATATTTACTCAGTGGTTTGGTGCTACAGGGATCTCTTAAAGAAAGCTAATTTGTTAACGAGAAACATGAATATTAGCTTACACTGAATGGGGAGGTCGGTGGATGCCTTGGCTGATTGTCTTGCCAAACATGAATATTAGCTTGCACTGGACTCAGTGGTTTGGTACTGGGCTGCTTTGTAATATGTTCTCTACTGTTTTGTAGAGATGATGGGCCGAGTGGGCCTTAGCTTCCTTATTTTTCTTAAGTTATGTGATGGTGTGCCAAATGAGCCTTAGTTTCCTTATTCTCATTAAGTCGTGTTTATGACTTATGTTTGTTAGCAGTGGGCCTTAGTTATGGGCCTGTTTTTTCTTTTTATTGTTGTCTTTAGTGCTGTCCGCCCTACTAAGGGTAACCATGTAATTGTCCTCATTGTTACAATCAAAGAATAAAAGATATTGTTGGGGGCTGAAGAGAGGATTGAACTACTCTCTCTTCTCCTTCGCTTTCTTCCATCTGCTTTCTCCATCACTTCTCTCTCTTCCATCTTCTTCTTCTCCTGTTTTTTTTTCTTTTATTTCAGATTATCGCAGGTGGGATTTACAACTTGTTTAAACTGTAATTTCTTTTAAGGAGAGGTCGCACCTTATGCCTCTCCTTGGGATGCCTGTAATAGTTCTCATATCTTGTTAATAAAATCATATTTAAATTATAAAAAAAAATCACCTTCCAAATGTTGCATTTACTGGCCTTTGCTTTACATGGGTAAAATCATTTCAGTTTGCTTTCATTTATTATATCCTCAATTCATGCTACCTTTGGCTCTTTCAAATACACTTTTTCCTCATTTTATTTTTCCTATTTTTTCCACTCACATTATCACATACTAACACAAGGTCATTATGTCCAGTTTTTCTTTTTAGTTGACAATTAGGGCTTCCATGGTGATAAATTATTTATTAATATGTGATATATTTCTTCATCCCTAATTGTGTACAACTGCACATTGACGTGTATCAATACTTGAACATTTTTGAATTGGGATGTGGTTACTTCATGGAAACTCAATAATGTTGCTAATGCAATGACATGGGGCAAAGGCTTGTGGAACTTAGCCCACTACCTTATTTTCAAGGACACCTTTTGTCGTTATTGTCAATCTAATCTAGATGGCAGTTGAATCAGGAATGGGAAAGGCATTTTTGTATTGTGACAGCTTTGTTCCTTTTTCTTTTTAATTTTTGTTTCAAGGGGTTCTGTAGTTAATATTTTTTTGCTATATTTTTAATGAAAGGTTACAGCTAACATCTAATACAAAATAAAAAAAAACTTAAATATGAGCTGTGTTACCTGGATATAGCAAAGACAGCTGGAAATGGTATTTACTTTACACTAAAAATTGAAATATGTAACATGATATGTGCTTATAATTGCTCATAAGCACGACTGCTCATATTCAATCATGCCTACATCTAATCTGTTATGATATAGAATGCAAAAAGTCTTGATGTTAGAGGTGTCTGGCTGTTTAAATAGAATATTTTCTGCAGGTATTGGAAGTAACTACATTGTTCTAGGTAAAAGATCCTAATGGCTACATCAGAAGAAAACAATGCACTATTCCCAATCTTCATTTTGACCATAATGGCACTGCCTTTAGTGCCTTACACAATACTCAAGTTATGCCGTGCTGCCTCTAAAAAGACAAAGAGCATACATTGTTCATGTTCCGTATGTACACATTCGGGAAAGTACCGCAAATCCATATTTAAGCGGGTAAGTTCATTTCTTTCCAAGTAACACACTTTGTTTAAGTTTAAATTGGGAAGTCAACGATTTTGTATGTTTCTATCCATTTTTTCAACTTTTATGTTTATCTCTGCAGATATCAAACTTCTCAACTTGTAGTAACTTGACACTTGTTCTTCTCTGGATCATCATGGCATTCCTGGTTTATTACATTAAACATATAAGCCGTGAGGTATTTTTTTGCCATCATTCATTCTTATTCAATATCTTTGTTTACTTGGACAATAAAACATCAAGAGTTACTGATCCCAGAAAAAAAGTAACACCAAGAGTTTGCAGCTATTGCCATGTGTTCCTGTCGGAAATCAAAAAGAGTTTTCTGAACTTGTACTCCCCCTTTCAAGTCCAAGAGCGATCACTTTGTGCAAAAAATACTAAATGTTAGGCCCATATTTAGTCACCCCTCCCAAGACCTCAGTTGACTGGGATCAACATTGGGTAATGGCCATTTTCTATCCATGATTGAAATCTAGAGAGGCTGCTAATTTGTTATTGATTGCTTATATTGAGATAGCATTACTTCTATCCTTCTTTTATTGTTTATTTATTTGCTTTTTGGTGGGCAGTGATGGGCTTTGTGGCTGATGTGGTACTGAATCAATCAGGGCTGTCGGTGGACTGAATGGGGTCTCGATCTGGGTAGGCCTGTCTCTAACCAACCGCAAAAAAGCCCAATACCAACCCAGACCCTATATGGTTTGTAGGCAACTAGTATAGAACTAACCCTTTTGGTAGTAGCACTTTACCAATTAAGCCTATTAATAACTAATCTGCTAATACCAAGGGTTTATTCATGATTTCAATTGGACTCCATTGCTTTGGAGTTTGTACTTTCAGCAGCAACATCAGATTTGGTCGCAGGAAAATTAGATCCATTGCAAAAGAAATTTCTTTTTTTTTTTTTGACCAGAGCAAATAGCAAAGTGGTCATGGAATTGAATTGACTTGTTTAGAACGGTTAGTGTTACATCCATGGGAAAGGGTTCAATTTTTCTCTGTTTCAATCCTACACGAGTTTGCTTGAGGAGGAAAGTGCTGCCATGCAGTGCTTCTCAAACTGCAGAGAGGGGAATATTTGAGATATGTTGAAGAAGGGGGGGGGTATAATGGAGTGGGTGAGGTGAAGGATAACAAGCTAAGGTACTGAGTTTAAATTCCTGGGAGGGGCCGAGGGGGCAAGTCAAAGTACTATGCATGACTCATAACATATATTGGCTTTTATTCATAGTTAACCATTTTATGTCCTTGGTAGGTCAAAATGGGTTAGACCCAATAAAACTCCAACTACCATTGGTCCTCAAAGATTGGACCCAACAGACCCATTATATGAAGACATGTTGTGGACTTAATGTAGTAGGCAGTGTTGTATGAAAACATACATAGGAGTTGGAATCTAATACATGTCCAAGAGTCTGATTCGGCAACTCACGGATACACCTATGCAAAAGTATATGCTATTAAAATAGTTAATGTTTTCTGAACTAACTTCATATACCTACAAAAAAGTGGTCTAAAATGTTGCCTTTGTTACAATGTAACATTAACATGTTTTCTATTTTCCTTTCATTTTTTGTGAACTGAAGAGACTTGGTAATGTCAGATGCTTTTTAGTTTAAATACTGAGACATGCCATTCACATATATATTATATTTAAGTGGTCATCCAGAGATTATTTTGGTGCATATCTGCAGGTTTCTGTATTAGTTGTTTGACACTATGCCTGAATCTTTTGCATCAAAGTTTCTAACCATTTATTTTAAGGCATTTTTCTGTGGAACATAAGTTCATTGATTCTAATTTTTCAAGCCCTTTCTAATGTCAATACTGAGAATGTTCAGATGCTGCCTCTCATTTGCAATATGTTATTCTACTTTGTTACAGATCCAAGTATTTGAGCCATTTAGTATTCTTGGATTGGAACCTGGAGCTTCTGATTCAGAAATAAAGAAGGCCTACAGGAGGCTCTCTATTCAATACCATCCTGATAAAAATCCAGATCCAGGTTTAAGGCATTCAATGTTTCTTAGTCTCTTTTTGTTGTTTCTGTCTTTTTTGGATAACTGTAACTTATTAATTGTGAAAAGTCTATTTGTTGCTTCTTACCTTCAGTTCAGGATATATGATGCCTTTCGGTGATGAATCTCAATTACCAATAGCTAAATATTTATTTTGCAGAGGCTCACAAATACTTTGTGGAGTTCATATCAAAGGCTTACCAGGCTCTAACAGATCCTGTATCTCGTGAAAATTTTGAAAAGTATGGCCATCCGGATGGCAGGCAGGTAATAATTATATACTTCTCTTGTTTATCTAGAAGCTCTCTTTCATCTTCCCATTATTCTTAAGCATAGAAAGACAGAACAACTACATTCAAAAGTGAATTTCCTAATTTGTTGTGGATGCAGGGGATGCAAATGGGTATAGCTCTCCCTCAGTTCCTGTTAAATATTGATGGGGCATCTGGTGGAATACTTTTACTTGGGATTGTTGGAGTGTGTATTCTTTTGCCCTTGATAATGGCTGTTATATATCTCTCAAGGTCGTCGAAATATACTGGAAACTATGTCATGCATCAAACACTGTCTACTTACTATTATTTCATGAAACCTTCCTTGGCCCCCAGGTATCCATCTATCTTTATTTTTCGGGATCTTGATCATTATAAATCATACTGTGATATGCATCTTTTCTCACACCAATTGAGATTCAACAATTACTATTTTTTTACATATGTATAGTTGTTTTGATCATAGGATGGCAGTGCTGTTTGTAACGCTACTTTTTCATAATTGAGATGCATCACAACTTCTCTAGATACATCCAACAATTGAAAAGGTCATCTAGTTGTTTGGAAGCATCACTGATAAAATGAGGGACTAGGAGTATTTAATTGTCTGGAAGCGTCACTGAGAAAACAGTAATTAGTGAGATGTTGTATTTTTCACAACTAAAAGGTCATTCAGTTGTCTTGAAGTATCACCAATAAAACAATGCCACTAGTGAGATTTTCTATCTTTTTCCCAATTCTAGAGCACTATTTGAAGGAACCTAGGAGTACCTCCAATAATTCAAGAGTACTATTTGAAGGAGAACCTAGGAGTACCTCCAATAGGTGCTAATGTTGTTTGGTCCCATGATTTCAGAAGGAACTTCAATGATTGGGAGCTGCATTTAGTTTCACATCTTTTGTTCATGCTTCAATCTCATGCAGTTAACCCCCAAGTTCCAGATTCCAGATGCTGGAAATGGTCTAAAATCTAAATCTGGTCTGTTTTCTGTTAAATCTTGCTAGAAGGGGTTGGATATGGTTGTGGTTTTCTTTTTTCCTAACAAAACAATCTGGAGGTCTGCTGCACCCTCAATGATCAAGTTTTTTAATTGGCTGGTAGTTTGGGAGAGATGTTGTACTAAGCAGATGCTAGCAAGAAAGGGGTATCTACCAGATCTTCTTTCCCTTGTGCAGGAGAGAGGAGGAATCTTCCAACTACCTCTTTCTCCATTGCAGTTTCACTTACATGACTTGGATCAAGGCCATCTCTTACCAATGCATGCCTGACTCTGTTCAGGCTTTGTTACAGGGATGAAAAGTGATTGGAATTGGCAGGAAAAGGCATCCTGTTCTGGTTGACTATTCTGTTGGCTGTTTTATGGTTTGCATGGCTGGAAAGGAGTTATTGGGTTTTTGAGCAGAAAAATAGCCTCATGGTAAGAGCGATTAATGGCATTAATGAGGCTCTAAGGCAGTGTTATCAATTACCGCTCACTTCAAGGAGAATGGTTTTTCTTCTTCCTTAAAGCTGTTAACTTTTTCGAGGATACTCAAATACTTTTGGCTGTACAGCTTTCCATTGTACGCCAATACTTCTGTTATTTGAATACTTTGGGCTGCTTTGATGTATAGTCTAATTTCTATTTGGTTGGATGTAACTTTCTATTTAGAGTGAGGCTGCACCTCTCACCTCTCTCTGGGATACTTGTAACAGATCCATCTTTTGATTAATGAATTAATTATTCAATTAACAGGGGGGTGGGGAGCAAGACTAAGATGGTTTGGTCACATGTAGAGAAGACCATCTTGAACACGAGTAAGAAATGATCTAAATATCCCTTACAAGTTGAAGGAGCTAGAAGATCTATGGTTAGAGCAAAACGGACATTGATTGAAGTAGTAAGATACGATTTAAAGGCTCACAACTAACAATAGATATGGTATTGAATAGAATTGAATGGTGAAACAGGATTCATGCAACTGACTTGGGCACAAGCCCTTTCAAAGAGTGTGCTCCTAGGCACATGCCTTTCTTTAAATTATGGCTATTTTGTTGTTGTTTTATTTATAGATTTTATGTGTTTTAGACCTTTGTAATGGTTTATCAACTTCTAAATTACCGTTTGCTGCTTATACACTAGTAATGGTCTATTAGCTTTTAAAATAAAACAAAGACATTTTCACTTGGTCCAACCTTTAATCTAGGCCAATTTGCTCTAAGTTGGACAAATTTTTGTTCTCAACAGATTGGGAGGAACATTGGGGTAATCTTACTTCTAGGGCTCTCCCAAGACTTGCTTCAGACCACTGGCCTATAGTGTTGGTTAAGGAGGAAATGAGAGGAGTTGGTCCTACCCCTTTCAGGTTTGAAAACACGTGGTTGACTCATCTGGGTTTCATCGAGAAGATCGGATAGTGATGGGAGCAAGCTAATCTAGTAGTTGATTGGGAGGGAATGAGGTTCCACAAGAAACTCCAATACTTAAAATCACAATTAAAGGAGTGGAATAGGCTGGAATTTGGAAGAATAGAAGAGAGAAAACAAGTTTTGGTGGAGCAGATTGAGGAGTTGGACATGAAGGAAGAGAGAGGCTCCTTTGGAGAGGAAGAAAGGAAGTTGAGATGGGTTTTGAGGAGGCAGATGGAGGACATCTTGGTTAAGGAGGAAATCAGGTGGAGGCAAAAATCCATGTGTAAGTGGCTAAAGGAAGGAGACAAAAACACAAGGTTTTCCCATTCAATGGCAAATAGGAAGAGAAAGAAGAATTTCATATCTAATTTGGAAGTTGAAGGAGCAGTGTTGTCCCACTCAACAGAAATTACAGAGGCTCCAGTAAGCTAATTCAAATCTATTTTTCGAAGACCTATGAATGGGAGAGTGTGGTTGGAGGGATTGGATTGATCGACTCTAAGTGCAGAGAAGAGAGAGTGGTTAGAAAAAAAGTTTTGATATGGAGGAGATAAAGGAAGCAATATTCTCAATGGATATGACAAAAGCTCTAGGTCCAGATGGCTTCACAATGGCCTTCTACTAGGACTGCTGGGATATTTTAGAGAATGATCTTAGGTCAGTTTTTGAGGAGTTCCATAGAAGGGGAATAATAAATCCAGGTTTGAACTCAACTTTCATTGCTTTGGTCCCAAAGAATAAAAAGGCATCACAACCAAAGGATTTTAGACCTATCAGTCTGGTGACTATCTTGTACAAAATCATTGCAAAGGTGTTGTCTCTTAGGATAAAGAAGGTGCTTCCCTCTATTATTACACCCAACCAAGGTTCTTTTGTGGAGGGAAGATGGATCACCGATCAGATTCTCATTGCAAATGAGAGTTTTAGGAAGTCAAAGAAGAAGGGAGTGGTTTGCAAATTGGATTTGGAGAAGGCTTATGACTTTGTTGATTGGTCTTTCTTGGTGGAGGTTTTGAGGAGTTTTGGTTTTGGAGACATGTGGTGTAAGTGGATTTGGGGCTGTGTCAGGACTTGTCATTATTCTATCCTGGTGAACGGAATTGTGGTTGACTTCTTCCTTGCGTTGAGAGGTCTAAGACTAGGAGATCCTCTTTCCCCTTTTCTTTTCACCCTGATTACTGATGTGCTTGGGAGATTGATCCTTAGAGCAAACTCGAGGAATCTTATAAGGGGGTGAAGAGTAGGAAGAGAGGAGGTTCCTTTAACACATCTATAGTTTGCAGATGACACTATCCTGTTCTGTGAAGGAGGGAACTTTAATTGGATACAGAATCTAAAGGTGACAATGCAACTCTTTGAGCAGATATCTAACCTCAAGGTGGACTTCGATTAGAGTTGTGTGGCGGGAGTGAATGTGGATGAAAGGGACCTAAGGGAATTTGCAAGTGAGCTAGGTTGTGCAATTTCGGACTGGCCCCTGACATACTTGGGCCTCCCTTTAGGAGATAATCCTAAGAGTGTAAGCTTTTGGATTCCGGTTATGGAGAGGTTTGACAAGAGGCTGGCGGCCTGGAAGAGAAATTATCTTTCTTTAGGTGAGAGAGTCACTTTCATTAGGTCTACCATAGTTAACCTACCTGTGTACTATCTGTCAGTGTTTAAGATCCCTTCAAAGGTTTCCAATCTTTTGGAAAAATTAATAAGGAATTTTTTGTGGGAGACTGGAGAGGAGAAGAGTGCCCATAGGGTGAGTTGGGAGGTGGTCACTAGGTGTAGAAAACTAGGAGGTCTTGGGATTGGTAATTTCAAGAAAAGGAATATGGCTTTGCTGGGGAAATGGTTATGGAGGTTTTCATTAGAAATGGATAAATTGCGGACTAAGATCGTGGCTAGCATACATGGGCTGGAAGACAATGGCTAGGATCTTGGAATCTTGGTAATTTCAAGAAAAAGAATATGGCTTTGTTGGGGAAATGTTTATGGAGGTTTTCATTAGAAATGGATAAATTGCGGACTAAGATTGTGGCTAGCATACATGGGCTGGAAGACAATGGCTAGGATCTTGGAATCTTGGCAAGGGCCTCAGTTGCTTCTCCTTGGAAATCCATTCACAATCTGCTTCCAGTTTTCTCCCCTTGGATCAGGTATGGTCTAAACTCTGGTAACCGAATATAATTTTGGGAACAACTTTGGGTCGGGGATTCTCCTCTGAAGGACCAGTTTCCTTCATTGTATGCTCTATCAGATTTGAAAAATGAACCCATATCTTCTTTCTTGGTTCCTTCGAACTCCACTTCTGGCTATGGTTGGAACCTAGGCCTGCGTAGGGCAATTAGGGATACAAACATGGACAACTTGGTAACTTTTCTAGCTTCCCTTGAGAATGTCTTCCTAAATCCTGCTAAGGAAGTCACTAGATTTTGGACCCCTTCTAGCTCTGGTACTTTTTCTTGTGCATCATTCTTTGAAACTTTAACTTAACCTCCTGTCCCCTTTGGTTTGTCCTTTCTGGTTAAAGAAATTTGGAGTAGGCCTATTCGTCCTCGGGTTGGCTTTTTTTGTTGGGAAATTTTCCTGGAAAGAATCAACACTTTTGACTTACTTCAGAGAAAGAGACCCAACTATTGTCTACTTCCTAATAGATGTGCTCTTTGTAAAGCTGATGGGGAATCCGGCTACCACCTCATGGTCTCTTGTAAGGTTGCTAAAACTGTACGGGAGTGGATTTTCTCCCGCTTTGGGTGTTCTTGGTATCCTCCGGAGAGTGTCTAAGGTTTGTTCTCTCATTTTTTCAGTTGGCCTAAGAAGCGAGGGAAGACTATGTGGAGGAGTATTAGGGAAGCGGTATGCTGGTCATTGTGGGAAGAAAGAAACACACGTATTTTTTAGACAAGGAAAGAACCTTGGAAGAACTATTAGACCTAATCCTTTTAAGGGCTGTCCATTGGCTAAAATCTTTGGAGTTGTTTCCAGACTTTCCTGTGGATGACTTGCTAGGAAATTGGAAAGAGATTGCTTCCACTTCTAGAAGTGGAAAGAGGACAGTGGTTTGTGGAACTTTAACAATGAAAAGAAACAGTTCTTATGGCTGTGTAGGGACATTGAGATACAGTACAGCTGGGTGAAGAGGAGTGCCAACTCGTTTGCGAATGGGTTGGCCAAGCAAGGAGTGAATAGGGAGACTGTATTTTGGGCTAGTTTTTAATTTTTTCTCTTTGTATTCTCTTTGTATTCTGTTATTGGGGAGCTAAGATATTTTATCTCCCCTCTTGTATCCATATTCCCACTTTTCTTTTAATTTAATGAAGCTGATGTTATTGATAAAAGAAAAAGTTGATAAAGAAAAAGAACTTTTGAAATAAAGAAAAATAAAGACATTTTCAAATACCTGAATTTTAGTTCTTGTGAATAGGATCTGAAATAGCAAAATTTCCACTAAAGAAGCAACAAAAATATGACTATTAATATGAAAATAGAATGAATTACTACTAGAATCACAAAATCAACCACTTTATATATACAGGCCAAAAATTTGGGTTGGGAGCATTGCCCCAAACCCCTACATGGACTTGTTTGGGCTTGCCTTAAGGGACTTTTTCGGAAGTAGAAGGTCAATCCACTAGGATTAAGTATGAAAGATGTTTGACATCGTGCTAGTTACTTGAAGTAATGCAACTAAGAGATAAATAAACAGATTGAAAGTTTTACATGCTTGAATTGTTGAGTGCTTGAAGCATCTTGTTACAATCCACATATGTTTGCTTTTCCTTATACGTTTTTACTTGAATATGTTTACCATGTTATGCTTATGTATTTTAAGTTAAGATAGTAGGGCTTTCCAAGACATTTAATTTCTTTTAAACTCAGGTTTGCTTTTTTATGTATTATTGATTCTTTATTTTGTAATTGTTTTATCAAAAATTCACACCTTGCTGCAAAATGGCATGTTCCTTGCCTTGAACTTCGAAAACACTGATGATGGCATTGCCCTATTTATATGTGTGGGCAAGTGGGAGAAGGGTTTTGTATGTGTCTTTGTGTTTATGTGTTTGTTTGTGTCTTTTTCTTTTATTTTTTGGGCTGGGGCCTTCAGTAGGTGTTAAATTAGAAATTTAAGTAGTAGTCCACGGCTCTCAGTCCAAGTCAACCCCTCATATGTTTTATAAGTACAAGTTGGCCCAAAATAAGGAATCTTCCGGTGCATTTGCTGACCTCAACTTCTCTTGCCGGCCTCTTGATTTCCCTTATTACCCCTTTGAATACCCAAGGACTCTCACTATTGTTCACATTCCAACCCACTACCAACATGGAGTCAGCTTTATTACTACTTACATTGCTAAGTGTGTTTAAATTGCATGGACTTCAAAATTAATGAAATGTACGTCAGATATGCATTGGTTTCTAATACTCGTGGATTCTTTGGTGACACTTCTATGTGACTTTTTTCTCTCTCATTGCTTATTTGACATAAATGTAATACTTAAACGTACACACTGAATGATTCATAAAAAATTGTACACACTGAATGCTATTTTTCCCAGAAAATGTTATGAAGTAAGAAAGATAATCTTCTAATTTTTTTTATAGGTTTAAAATGTTAAAATTCAACAACTTATGGAGTATTTTAATAGTCTATACTTGCTTATAGATGTGTCTGCAAGTCCTTGTTTTTTTCTTGTCTTGTCAAGTCAGACTCCTGAATTCAGGTTGGTTCTGATTTTCATGTCTGTGTCCATGCAATGATTTATCTAATAAGTCATTTTTACCTGACTTTATTAAAATTTGTTACTCATTATTTACCTAAAAATCCGTCTCTTTGTTTATACTAATTGCATCATAAATTTTACAGCAAGGTTATGGATGTCTTTATCAAGGCTGCTGAATACATGGAAATTCCAGTTCGTAGGAGTGATACTGAACCCCTTCAGAAACTGTTCATGTTAGTTCGAAGTGAGTTGAACCTAGATCTTAAGAATATTAAGCAAGAGCAAGCAAAGTTCTGGAAGCAGCATCCTTCCCTTGTGAAGGTAGTATGTCATAGCATCTTTCATCTGTGTTATTGACCTAATTTTTTTTTCTTGATTTGTTGGTCCGCATTCTTACATGAATGCCTTTGGCCTTTTCAGACAGAGTTGTTGATTCAGGCTCAATTAACCCGGGAATCAGTGGCTTTATCTTCAGCTTTGCAAAGTGATTTCAGACGTGTGCTCGAACTTGCACCTCCCCTTCTTGAAGAACTAATGAAGGTCATGTCAATATTCCCTACATATTCACTCCTTAACCAGATTCTTATATGTAGTTTTAAGGAATTATGAAACTTCAACACCCGTTTAGGTTTGTTATATTTTCTGCCAAGTGCCAACGTTTTCCTTGTTGGAAGGTTTTGGTCCAACAAGCCCTTTAACGATTTAACCAGAGTAAATCTGCAGGTAATCAATAATCCTGTGGTATTCATGCTCAATTTGCTGGGAAACCTAACTTATAAAACAGTAGCACTCGTTGTCTTTCTTGAACGTAGATTGGATGGTTTAAGCATGTGGTATTATGACTAAAAGGAGAAAATTGACAGCATGGTCAAGGGAGAGATTGAAATAGGAAAATATTTTTTGGAAAGGGAATGGTTCCAATTTAAAATCCAGCTGAAACCAGATCATGTGAATTCTGTTCATATTTCCATCCATTTCCCCTTTCTTTACTTTGTTCTTCTTCATTGTTGTTGAGGAACTATAAATGTTGAGAACTTGAGATATTTCATAATTTAAATGTTACGAGTATCAGGAATGTATTAGCAAGCTAATGGTTGGCATGATTAATATGGTCCAGCTGCATTTGTTATTACATCTTTTTCATGTATGCTTTTCATGCTTTAAGTGTCACAAATAATATTGAAAATTTTTGGTCTTAGCATTCTATCTATCTCCATACAAGAACTTCTGACAACTATTGCCTTTTTTTTATATATTTTACAGATGGCAATTATGCCACGCATTCCTCAGAGATACGGATGGCTGAGGCCAGCAATTGGTATCGTCGAGCTTTCTCAAAGTATCATCCAGGTAATACATTTTGGAAAGAGTATTTATTTATTTTTTTGCCTTTTGTTGTCTTTAATCACTTCTAGCATATGCTACATCTAGTTTACAAAAATGTGGAACTTTGGTTCTTGTAATCATTGGTTACCTCTGGAGCTGCTTGGATCATTGACAAACTGCTGCCATAAGCATAAATCAGGATCATTGTTGCATGTTTTGTACCTTTTGGCATACTGCCTGCTTTTGTGAGCAGTATGGTGTAACTGTTATTTATCAAAAAATTGTTGCATGTTTACATGAATTCACTGATCATTGTTTGTAGCATTCATATTATTGAGTAGCTTAATTCTTTCCCGAATTCTTATCACATTAAGCAAAAATTTTGTGTTGTTCAAAGCTCATCCATCCTATTTTCTCGAGAAAGTATTACATGTGTTTTCATCAAGAAAATAATATAACTTCTAGTTAGTAACTGCTTATTCCATTTCCATCTTTTGCTTACTTAACATATCTGGTGCAGGCTGTCCCTCTCAGTGCAAGAAAAGCAGCTGGAGCATCTGCTGAAGGCATTGCACCATTTCTGCAGCTACCACATTTTAATGAGGCTGTTGTCAAAAAGATAGCCCGCAAGGTATTTTGTACATTTATATAACTTTAGGTATCATTATTGCCTTTCAGGAAGAAAATCTGCTGCATCAATCATCAAGTCATCTTTTCCCTGCAGTATCGTGGGGAGAGGAGCTAAAAAATATGGATTGCTATGCCTTGAGAAAAAACTTCAATAGGGAAATTTTTAGGATGGAAAGATGGGATTCTTTAGATCCCCATTGGTTTTGTATTTATCAATTTAAAATTACATGGTTTCTGGCATGGAATCCATGTTGGTATATTATTTAGGTAACCCAAGTATCTTGGTTCTTTAGTTACTATTACATATTTTAAAAGCCGAGAATTAACCATATAAAGAATAAGGGGCTATTACTTAATTTAATGGTAAAATCTTGGGCTGACAAGCATGAAAATGTGGGTTCGAGTTTGTGAGCGGCCACAAAGGGCAAAATAAAAGAAAACACCAATGGTTAGATTGATATCCAATCCAACCCTCCCAAGGTCCATGATAGCTGGGGCGTTCGGGTAAGGCTCTTTATGGCAGAAGAAAAGTGAGAAGTAGATATAAACATATATTTTTAGTAACCAAAGACTCGTGTTTTTGCATTGTAAGTATTGGAGTTGTGTAAGATGCATGTCCAACCTGGTAGTTGGACAAATGTTGAACAATAGAGAACGAAAGAGGAACTCCTTGTTGGCAGGTAAGCAGAAAAAGTAGAGAAGAGTACATTAGCACATCTGTGCATGTGTTTTTTTTTTTTTTTTT